CTGCTACTACTACTACTACTACTACTACTACTACTACTGCTGCTGCTGCTGCTGCTGCTATTACTATTACTACTTTTACTACTGCTACCACCGCTACTACCACTACTACTACGACGACGACTGCTACTTTTACTTTTACTACTACTACTACTACAACTACTACTACTGGTACTACGGCTACTACTACTACTACTACTACTACTACTACTACTATTACTACTACTACTACTACTACTACTACTACTACTACTGGTGGTGCGTGGTGGTACGTGGTGGTGGTGCGTGGTGGTGCGTGGTGGTACGTGGCGGTCATGCGTGGTGGTACATTGGGGCACGTGGTGGTCATGCGTGGTGGTACGTGGTGGCACGTGGTGGTCATACGTGTTGGTGCGTGGTGGTGCGTGGTGGTGGTGCACGGTGGCACGTGGTGGTGGTACGTGGTGGTACGTGGTGGTCATACGTGGCGGTACGTGGTGGTACGTGGTGCTGGTACGTGGTGGTGCGTGGTGGTCATACGTGGTGGTACGTGGTGGTACGTTGTGGTCATGCGTGGTGGCGCGTGGTGGCCATACGTGGTTGTAAGTGGTTGTACGTTGTGGTCATGCGTGGTGGTGTGTTCGTGCGTGGTGGTCATACGTGGTTGTACGTGGTGGTGCGTGGTGGTGCGTGGAGGTGCGAGGTGGGGGTGCGTGGTGGTGGTGCGTGGTGGTGGTACGTGGTGGTCATACGTTGGGGCCGTGCGTGGTGGTACGTGGTGGTACGTGGTGGTGGTACGTGGTGGTGCGCGGTGGTACGTGGTGGTCATGCGTGGTGGTGCGTGGTGGTGGTGCGTGGTGGTGCGTGGTCGTCATATGTGGTGGTCTTACTTGGTTGTCCGTGGTGGGGTGCGTGGTGGGGTACGTGGTGGTACGTGGCGGCACGTGGTGGTCATACGTGGTGGTCATGCGTGGTGTTGGTGCGTTGTGGTACGTGGTGGTGGTACGTGGTGGTGCGTGGTGGTCATGCGTGGTTGTGCCTGGGGGTACGCGGTGGTCATACGTGGTGGTCATACGTGGTGGTACGTGGTGGTGGTGCGTGGTGGTGGTGCGTGGTGGTGGTGCGTGGTGGCACGTGGTGGTCATACGTGGTGGTGCGTGGTGGTACGTGGTGGTAGTGCGTAGTGGTACGTGGTGGCCATGCGTGGTGGTACGTGGTTGTCATGCGTGGTGGTGCGTGGTGGTACGTGGTGGTCATGCGTGGTGGCACGTGGTGGTGGTATGTGGTGGTCATGCGTGGTGGTACGTGGTGGTGCGTGGTGGTCATAGGTGGTACGTGGTGGTCATACGTGGTCATACGTGGTGGTGGTACGTGGTGGTGGTACGTGGTGGCCATACGTGGTGGTGCGTGGTGGTACTTGGTGGTGCGTGGTGGTGGTACGTGGTGGTGCGTGGTGGTGCGTGGTTGTCATGCGTGGTGGTACTTGGTGGTGCGTGGTGGCCATGCGTGGTGATGCATGGTGGTACGTGGTTGTCGTGCGTGGTGTGCGTGGTGGTCATACGTGGTGGTCATGCGTGGTGGTACGTGGTGGCACGTGGAGGTGGTACGGGGTGGTGCGTGGTGGGGGGGGGGGGGGGGGGGGGGGGGGGGGGGGGGGGGGGGGGGGGGGGGGGGTCCATACTGGTGGATCGTGGTGGTCGTAGGTGGAACAAGGTGGAGTGCATGGTGGTGCGTGGTGGTGCGTGGTGGTGGTACGTGGTGGTGTGCTATGGTGGTCACGCGTGATGGTCGAAGTGGGTCAAGCGAGGTGGAGTGAGCTCGTTGGTGCGAGAGTGCGTGGTCGTCATATGTGGTGATACGTGGTGGTGCGTGGTGGTGCGTTGTGGTGGTGCGTGGTGGTGGGTGGTGGTCTCACGTGGTGGCACGTGGTGGTCATGCGTGGTGGTGCGTGGTGGTGCGTGGTGGTCATGCGTGGTGGTGCGCGGTGGTACGTGGTGGGGTGCGTGGTGGCACGTGGGGGCACGTGGTGGAGGTGCGTAGTGGTGGTGCGTGGTCGTGCGTGGTGGTGCGTGGTGGTACGTGGTGGTGGTACGTGGTGGTGCGTGGTGGCACGCGGTTGCCATACGTGGTGGCACGAGGTGGTGCGTGGTGGTCATGCGTTGTGGTGCGTAGTGGTCATCCGCGGTGGTCATGCGTGGTGGTGCGTGGTGGCACGTGGTGGTGGTACGTGGTGGTCATACGTGGTGGTCATACGTGGTGGTGCGTGGTGGTGCGTGGTGGTTGTGCGTGGTGATGCGTGGTGGTCATACGTGGTGATACGTGGTGGTACATGGTGGGCATGCGTGGTGGTACGTGGTGGTCATACGTGGTGGTGCGTGGTGCTCAGTGGTGGTACGTGGTTGTCATGCGTGGTGGTGCGTGGTGGTGGTGCGTGGTTGTCATGCGTGGTGGTGCGTGGTGGTGCGTGGTGGCGGTGCGTGGTGGTGCGTGGTGTTCATAAGTGGTGGTGCGTGGTGGTCATGCGTGGTGGTCATGCGTGGTGGTACGTGGTCGTCATACGTGGTGGTGCGTGATGGTGCGTTGTGGCATGTGGTGGCGGTGCGTTGTGGTACGTAGTGGTCATGCGTGGTGGTCAAGCGTGGTGGTACGTGGCGGTGCGTGGTGGTACGTGGTGGTGGTGCGTGGTGGTGCGTGGTGGTCATGCGTGGTGATGCGTGGTGGTGCGTGGTGGCCATGCGTGGTGGTACGTGGTGGTGCGTGGTTGTCATGCGTGGTGGTGCGTGGTGGTGCGTGGTGGTGGTGCGCGGTGGTGCGTGGTGGCACGTGGTGGTGGTACGTGGTGGTGCGTGGTGGTCATCTCGCCGTTGTCGATCTCGCCCCCGCAGCCACCGTCGCTTCGCCGTCCCCCCAACCGCCGTCGTCCCACCGTGGTCTGACCCCCCATCCACCGCTGTCTCGCCCCCCAGCCGCCGTCGTCTCACCGTCTTCTCACCCCCCAGCCATTGTCGTCTCACCCCCCCGCCGCCGTCGTCTCGCCGTCGTCTCACCCATCAGCCGCCCTCGTCTCATCGTCGTCTCAACCGCCAGCCACCGTCCGTCTCACCTGCGTGTCACCCCCCAGCCGCCCTCGTCTCACCCCCCAGCCACCGTCGTCTCGCCGTCGTCTCACCCCCCCGGTCACCCGCCCTCCCCCCCCAGCCGCCGTCGTCTTACCGTCGTCTCACCCTCCGAAAGCGCACAGGAAAGCATGATTCCCCCAAATCCGTCGGGCTTAATTTTCAGGCCCGATGGATTTTCGCTGCCGCCGATTCCCGAAAGCGAAATCCGAGCACAGGAATGCACGAGAACCCAAGATATCCTTCGGGCTTGATTTCCAGGCCCGATGGGTTTTCGCTGCTGCCGACCCTCCGAGAGCGAATTCTGAGTACAGGAAAGCATGGGATTCCCCCAAATCCGTCGGGCTTAATTTTCAGGCCCGATGGATTTTCGCTGCCGCCGATTCCCCGAAAGTGAAATCCGAGCACAGGAATGCATGAGAACCCAAAGATCCTTCGGGCTTGATTTCCAGGCCCGATGGGTTTTCGCTGCTGCCGACCCTCCGAGAGCGAATTCTGAGTACAGGAAAGCATGAGATTCCCCCAAATCCGTCGGGCTTAATTTTCAGGCCCGATGGATTTTCGCTGCCGCCGATTCCCCGAAAGTGAAATCCGAGCACAGGAATGCATGAGAACCCAAAGATCCTTCGGGCTTGATTTCCAGGCCCGATGGGTTTTCGCTGCTGCCGACCCTCCGAGAGCGAATTCTGAGTACAGGAAAGCATGAGATTCCCCCAAATCCGTCGGGCTTAATTTTCAGGCCCGATGGATTTTCGCTGCCGCCGATTCCCCGAAAGTGAAATCCGAGCACAGGAATGCATGAGGACCCAAAGATCCTTCGGGCTTGATTTCCAGACCCGATGGGTTTTCGCTGCTGCCGACCCTCCGAGAGCGAATTCTGAGTACAGGAAAGCATGAGATTCCCCCAAATCCGTCGGGCTTAATTTTCAGGCCCGATGGATTTTCGCTGCCGCCGATTCCCCGAAAGTGAAATCCGAGCACAGGAATGCACGAGAACCCAAAGATCCTTCGGGCTTGATTTCCAGGCCCGATGGGTTTTTGTTGCTGCCAACCCTCCGAGAGCGAATTCTGAGTACAGGAAAGCATGAGACTCCCCCAAATCCTTCGTCGTCCCACGCAGCCACCGTCGCTTCACCGTCGTCTCACCCCCAGCCAAGGTCGTCCCCCCCCCACAGCCACCGTCGTGTCACCGTCGTCTCACCCCGCCACTGCGACGCCACGAAGCGTGTTACCCACCAAAAGACCCGGCCAAAAAAGCTCGCAGGCAGAAAAAGCACAACCCCCCAGAGACATCCGACCCTGTGGCCTATGGTCAAGGCCTAAGGTCAGTCCTCGCGGGGCGCGCAGGGAAACGGGGGGTCTCTCTGTCTGTCTCTCTTGTTCTTCTCTTGGAGCAAGCCGCAAAAAGTGTGCGTCATCCCGGCCTTGTAAGACCGCGCCCGCCATTTTTTTTTCCTCTTGGGTCCTTTTCGGGAGTGCTCTTGGAGGCCTCTTGGGACGTTTCGGAACGATCTTTGAGGGTATGACGGGTTTTGGGGGGTCGTCGTGGACCGTATTGGGGCTCTGGGGTCGTTTCGGGAGCGCGCCGGAACGCCTGGAACCAGTCTGGGGCCAGCTTCGGGCTCTCGTAAGGTTCTCGCGGGTCGCCTGAAGGGTTGCCCAGAGGCCCGTGGAGGGCCGAATTCGTTCGGGGGGGGGGGGGGGCACTTTTTCCGGCGTCCCCAGCCGTATAAAAGTTTATGAATAGGTGCATGTATAGATAGATATAAACATATGTTCGCCCCTTGGCGTGGGGCTGGCGGGGGGCCAAGGGGCGAGCTGTCCGGTGTTGTTCTCTCCTGCTTCTCCTCCTCCTCTTCCTCTTCCTTTTTCTTCCTCCTGCTCTTCCTCCTCCTCCTCCTCCTCCTCCATCACCATTTTAGCTCAAGGTTTGGAATAAGCTGCAATGCGTAAACCGTATCTCTACCACCATGGCAGTTCGTGCCACGATTATCTTCCCTGCATCGGCGGTCGTTGCCGCCGCCGTCGTTGCCGCCGCCGCCGCCTCGGAGCAAGCGGTGGATGCCTGCGCGATGCAGATTCACGCGGCCGCCAGCGCGGGCCGAGGTGCTGGGCCCGACTCCGAGGCCGATCAGCGCCTTGCGGAGGGCACCCCGAGCAGCTGGGTGACTAGCGCCTGGGGCGACTGCATGAGCAGCTGCGACCTGCCGGTGAAGCACCGCGACGTGGCCTGCGCGTCGCCTGTCATTGGCGAGGCACCCTGGCGGCGTCGGCCTGCGGCGGCCGGAGGCCCACTGCGTACAGGAGCTGCAGCTGCGAGCTGGAAGTCTGCAAGAGCCTGCCGGGCACGGCCTGCGGAGCGCCCGAGGACCCGATGCTCCTGGGACTCCCGAGTTACGTCGAGGTGGGCTGCTTCCAGCTCTCCGTCGGCGACCCTGGCGTCACGTGCGCCGGCGACTACGACACGACGTGCCTGAGCTGGAGGCAGGGCACGCCCTGCAAGAGCGGGTTCCCGTTCTTCAGCAACTGCAGCGGCGGCCCCGCCCCCGCGATGAGGGCGGCGGAGTGTTTCAACCACTGCATCACCAGGGGCCTCGACATGTTCGCCATCGTGGAGGGCCTCGAGTGCCGCTGCGGGGCCTCCATGCTCAGCACAGCTGTGTGGCGGCAGCAGCCGCCTGGCGCGGGGAAGGCCTTCTCCATCGGTGCGTCGGTGCAGAGCGCGAACGCCACGGCGGGGGAGTGCTCGCTCCAGGTGTTCCGCTACGCGGGCAGCTACGACGCGGGCTACGTCCCCCTCCTCTACGTGACCTCTGCTAACGTGGCCGTCGGGGCGTACATAGACTCCATCGTCGCGGGGACGGTCGTCTCGCCGGAGAAGGAGGAGGAGACCGCGGACGAACAACTGGCCGACTTGCGCCCCACCTTGGGGGACTTAGCGGCCCGCGCCGCGAGGCTGTCGGGCAATGCGTCGTCTGCGCGGTCGTCGTTGGGAAAGGCGGCGTGCGCGACGCCCTTCAACCAATACGGCTACTACGACTGCGACGACGCCTGGTGGAAGGACCAGTACAGCTGCGCCGACTTGGAAGGTTTTGGCTTGGGTATTGACTGCACCGGGTGCCAGTGCCCCGGCGACTGGCCTTCGTCCAGGGACATCCCGGGATGGACGCGGAACTGCTACCCGTTGTCGTGCGGCTACGGCGAGGGGCCTTGGCCGACGCGCCAGGCTACAGCTCCTGCTGGCGTCCCCGACCTGTGGGACGAGTACGTGATCATCCCGTACAAGTTTGTGTCGGGCTTCCCGGCCGAATCCAAGGCCGTCGTCGAGACTGCGGCGAAGCACTGGTACGATCAGACTTGCATCGTGTTCCAGGAGACCACCCCCGACAGCTACCTCAAGGTAGAGTTTACAAACGCAGACCCCAACCAGTGTTACGCGACGGTCATAGGCAAGCCCGTGGAGGGAGGTACCACGTCACAGATCAACATGGGTTGGTGCAACAGCGCGGCCCACACCGGTAACGTCATCCACGAGCTGGGCCACGCCTTAGGCATGGTCCACGAGCAGCAGCGCCCCGACGGCAGCGCAGCCTACCACGGACGGGGGCCGCATCTGGTGATCCGCTGGGAGAACATCGACTCGTCCAAGTACTCTCAGTACACCGCGAAGAGCGGGAGCTACACGGGGTCCGCCCACGACGGGGACGGCGACGCCCACGAGGGGTACTCGCCGTACGACTTCGGCAGCGTTGTGCACTACGGCGCCGGCGCCTCCGCGTCCCCGAAGTTCACAGCCCTCCCAGAGGACGTGTCGCCGATCAGTGTCGGGCAGCGCGTCGGCCTCCCGGCAATGGACATCTCCCAGGCGCTGGACACGTACCAGTGCAGGGCCAACGACGCGTCGCGCCTCGCCAAGGGCTTCGCGGTCGTCGGGCCCTTCTGCTCCGACCAGAGCGCGCTCGCCACGGAGTACGTGCTGGGGGGGGAGACCCAGGACAAGAAGCCCTGGTACGTCTCGGCCGACGGCGCCTACTACCTGTACTACGACCCCGACTGCGACGGCCAGGGCTCTGCGCCCAGATGGGTCTTCGACGCGCAGCAGCCGAGCGAAACCGCCACATCGGACCTGGACGGCGACGCCGCGTGCGACTACGAGGCTACGAACCACCCCGCGCCGACAGACCCGAGCGTGGAGATCTGGAGGGGCGTGCCGCTGGGGAGGTCGACGTTCCTGATGATGTGCGGGAACCTGGGGTGGCAGAACCAGGAGGTCACAGTCACCGGCATCGAGCCGCTTACCGTCTCTGGGCACTGCCAGGACTCGGTCGACGGGTACTTCGCTGGGCTCGGCTCCACGGCGAGCGGGAGCCCGTACTACGGGAACGGCAAGGGCACCTACCTGTACTACGACCCCGACTGCAGCGGCGCGGGGACCCGCAGCCCCGCGTGGCACTTCGACGCCGCCGCCCCGAGCACGGTGGCGGCCGCCGACCTCTCGGGCACCGGGGACTGCGAGGACCTGGGCTACGTCGAGAGCGGCAACGCGACGGCGGTGCCGACGGGCACGAGCTCGTGGCAGGAGCGGTGCCAAGACGGCAGCGGCGCGTGGGCCTGGGGGGCCAAGGACCTCACGGTCGAGGAGGCGGCGCTGCCGCCCACCCCGCCGCCGACGCCCCACCCCGAGTGCTCGGACACCGACGGCGGCGCCACGGACAGCACGGGCCAGGATTGCGCCGCTGGCTACTCGTACCACTACGCCATGTGGTGTGGCGAGTGCGACTCGAGCGACTTCACCGCCAGGCGCCATGTGCTGCGTCTGCGGGGGCGGGCTCTTCCCCACGCCCGCGCCCACCCCGGGCCCCACCGCGAGCCCCACCGTGAGCCCGACGCCCGCTCCAGCGCCCCCCCCACCGCCGAGCACGGCGGTGGGGGACCCTCACATCACGAACCTGCTCGGGGAGTCGTTCGACGTCAACAAGCCGGGCGAGCACGCCCTCCTGCGCGTGCCCTTTGACGACGGCCTCTCGCCCCAGCTCGAGGTCCGCGCCAGGATGAAGCCGGCGACCGCCTCCCCCTGCGGTCTGTGGATTACGGAGGTGATCTTCAGTGGCGAGTGGGTCGGAGAGGAGGTCCGCGTGCACACGGCCGCCAAGGCCGCCAACAGCCGCAGCGAGCCCGACCACTTCGCTCTACTTGTCGGCCCTGGCGCTGACCACGCCGTGCGGAGGCGGTGGAGGCGGTGGTCAAAGTTCCCCAAGGGCGCCGACGTTTCCCTGTCCGGGAACGTGACGGTCCGCCCCACCTTCCGCGATTTCCAGGGCGCCGCCGCCGTCAAGGGCAGGAGGGTCTTCGAGTTCCTCGTCGGCCCGTCCGCCTCCCTGCAGGAGCGCGTGTCAATCACCGTGGCACAGGCCTCGAAGCCCGCCCTCTCGACGTGCAGGCCGCGCGCCTCGGCAGGCTGGGGGCCCATCGGTTCGGGGGCCTCCTGGGCACCGAGGACCACGACCCCCTGGTCGAGGAGGTCTCAGTGAAGTGCGCCGCGCACCTGCGGAGCCGGGGCGCGATGACGCCCCGCGACATGCAGCGCATCATCGCCCACTCGACGGGCAACTCCGCGGGAGCGGCGCTACTCTCCCCGGCCAGCCCCCTACCCGAGGAAGACTACGAGCAAGTTGCCAACATGACTGCGTTTTGGTGACCAGCGGAATCTGACAGCGCGTCGGCCAGCACTCACGAGGGCAGGCCGCCAGCACGACCGCGTCGGTCCTGCCATGATTTTTGGCAGCCGCTCCTTGCGACACGGTTTTAAACTTTTTCGCTCCTGCCAGATGGGCTGCCATTCCCGACTGTTCCTTTGTTTGTCTGAGACACGTCGCGAATGGTGTGGCAGGTGTGCGCGCTGACCGCTTGCCCCCCTCCTCCTACTCCTACTCCTCCTCCTCCTCCTCCTCCTCATCCTCCTCCTCCTCCTCCTCCTCCTCCTCCTGCTGGCCAGTGCTGCCCTGGTGCAGAGTGCGGCGGAGGACTGCACAGTGACTCACGGTGAGCTGTGTAGTAGCTGTCTCGGAGTCCTCGAGGGTCCGGCTGGAAACTTGTTACTGACCCGATCAGGCTGGCAAGTTGTTTTGCCAGGATTCCAGGAGCTCCAATCCAATCCAATCCTCCTCCTCCTCTTTAGTTTAGCCTCGGGGCGATGCACAAGAGTGACCCAGCAGGGAGCAGCAGCAAAGCAGCAGAGCAACGCGTAAGATTAAAAGGGACGCCCGACGCGCCGAAGACCCTGGAGCCCAGGTAGGAACAGGAACCGACACCCTCTGCTCTCTCGCTCTCCCCATCCATCCTCCTCGTCCTCTCTGTCCTCCTCCTCTCTCTTTCTCGACACTCCTTCTCCCCTCCTCCCTCCCTTACTCTCACACCTCCTCCTCACTTCTTGTCCATCATAATACCTCGGTCTCCCTCCTCCTCCTCCTCCTCCTCCTCCTCCTCCTCCTCCTCCTCCTCCTCCCTCCTCCTCCTCCTCCTCCCTCTCCCTCCTCCTCCTCCTCCTCCTCCTCCTCCTCCTCCTCCTCCTCCTCCTCCTCCTCCTCCTCCTCCTCCTCCTCCTGGGGACCCACGGGGGCCCGACGAGCGAAGGGCGGGACGCCTCAGCGCTGCAGCGCTGGCCCGAAAAATGGCCCAGGCTGCCGCCTGGGCGCCTGCCTGCCCCGACGCGGTCGGCTGCCGCCCTGCCGTCGGGCAGGGGGTCTGAGGCGCTCGGGACTGCGCCACGTCGGCCTCGGGGACAGTCTTGGCGGCGTGCCTTCCGCGTGGCTCCCTGCTGCTTTCTATTGCACGACACCTCGTGCTCTCGATGCTCTCTCTCTCTCTCTCTGGGCGCGGCGCCCTCTGCCGGTCTCGGCTGCGGATGGCCGGGTGAGCCTGGAACTCCCGAAGGAGCAGCCTCGCCACCAGGGGCCCCAGGCCAGGAGGGAGAGGCCTCGGACCTCGCCGCCCCCCCGCGCACGGCCAGCCTCCGTGCCAGACAAGAGCCCCCCGTGGGCCTTCGGGCAGTGGCGGCAGCGCCCTCGTCCCCCGGGCCCTCGCAGGGCCCAGCCGCCGGGCCTGGAGGTGCACGGTGGAGCAGGAGGGGAGGGAGCCGAGGAGCACGGGGAGGGAGCGCGGGGATCAAGGGGGGGGGGGAGGGAGCGCGGGGAGGAAGGGGGGGCGGAGGCGAGGAAGGAGGGGGGAGGAAGGAGGGGGGGGGGGGGGAAGGTGGGCTTCTTAGGTGGGTGTCCGAGCTCTTTTCCGCCGCGGCGCGGCAGAGGCAGTCCCCACGCGCGTCCGAGCGAGACCGCGGGCGGGGCCCCCAACCGTGCGCTGCTCGAGGCGCACCTGGCTGGCGGCCCGTTGACGCCTCGGAAGGCCAGCTCCGGCACCCACGGGGAAAGCGCCGCTTCTACGGGGCGGAGCGGGGTGCTCCATCGCGGACGGGCGAGGAAGGCATTTTGGCCCGTCATGGGGCCCCGTGGGGCCCTCCGGACCATGGGGGGGCTGGGCCCTTTGAAGCGGATTTGCTCGGGCGAGGCTAGGACTGGGAGAAGCCGTTCCATAGCTTTCTGGAACGCTCGCTCCAGAGCGCCCGGGAAAGGCCGCGGCGCCCGATACATCCATCAGGACCGCCGGATCTCAAAGATTCCTGATTTATTATCATCCGATTTGCCCTCATTCTGTTCTCGTTTGATTTACAGCTTTCAAGGACACAGAAGGACCCGAAGGGACCTGATATCCTTCCACTCAGAAACTACGGCACGGTGTTGGAGATATGATCCAGGACTCTGGGCCCTCCCCCTCATTCTGATGCATTCGCCCCCCCCCCTCCCGCGCGATGGGTGCCGCCCCCCCTGTGGTCGTGGCCCTGTGGGCGTGCCGTGGCAGGGGGGCCAGTGCCCCCCACCTCCCCATGTGGGTGTGTGGTGCTGCGGTGCCGTCGTCGTCGTCGTCGTCGTCGTCGTCGTCGTCGTCGTCGTCGTCGTCGTCGTCGTCGTCGTCGTCGTCGTCGTCGTCGTCGTCGTCGGCGCCGTCGGCGTCGTCGTCGTCGTCTTCGTCGGCATCGTCGTCGTCGTTGTCGTCGGCGTCGTTGGCGTCGGCGTCGGCGGCGGAGGCGTCGTCGTCGTCGTCGTCGTCGTCGTCGTTCTCCCCTCCCCCCCATCTCATCAGGGTGGGTGGGCCGAGGAACCCTGGGACCCATCCCAGCTGCGGGCGCGGCCTGTGAAACCTCGACCCTTGGCCCCTGGCGCCGAGGCGGCCCCACGCAGCGACCTGGTGTGCCACCCTCTCCACCGCTTGCGTGGGGCAGCGGTCAGAAGCGGGGCGGCGCCCTTGTTCCGCTCGGCCCTCAAGAAGTCCGCGACTGGCCCCACATGGTTCGAAGTGGTCCACGACGACCCGACTACCGAGCAAGACGGCCCCGATACCCTCCTCGACGGCCCTACGATCCCAACAGGCACCCCGCAGCTGCCCAAGGGACCGTAAGTAAGAATCAGCGTCATTTTCAATAGTAGGCATTCTTGGAAACTTCAATGACATTGTAAGACACGTTGTGTCTATTGTGTAGAAATCTTGGTTCAGGCTGGGAATTCTCATTTGATATATCTGCATCAAGCCCGCGGGTGCCGCGCAGATGCCAGCACTCGTGGTTGGTTTCAGCGGCTGCACCAGGTCTGGCAAGGGCTCTTTGGTGAAACAGCTGCTCGAGCACCTGCTGGGCCCGCACTACATCGCGCTCACGCAGGAACCAGTCGGGGGCATCCACAGGTTCCGATCCAGCTACGGGGACGTCCCGAGGGTGGTCAGCTGCATCTGCCTCGACCACTTCTTTCTACGAGACAAGATCAAGAAGGAGCTGAACGGCCACTACGACACCCCCGAGGCTCTGGATCACGAGGGTATTCTGGTGGCTGCCAGCGCAGAGAGGTCGGACTCACTGGTCTCTTGGGTTCTCGTAGAGGGCTTCATGGCCTTCTACGACGCGAGGCTGTATTGCCTGTGCCACGTGCGCATCTGGCTGGAGCTGCCCGTTGCGGTGGCCTGGAAGCGGCGCGCCAAGACCAAGAGGGTGAAGAGAGAGTATTTCGACCTCCACATCTGGCCAAACCACGTGACGTACCGGGAGCTGGTCTTCTCGCGCCCCGGGGCCTCACAGCAGATCGGCGTGCTGGATGCCACCCATCGGCTACACGCAAGAGTGACCTGTCGCTGGGGTGACCTTTGGTGCGGGCACACGCTGGGGTCCCTAGATGCTTGGATGCGATGCGATAGCAGCGGCCTGCGTGCTCGTGCTCGGGCCTTCCCGCGCCCCCCCACACAGGCCGAGCACGAGAGGTCACTCCTGCCCGACGGGCGCTCCTGCGTGCAGCCGCACCCAGAGCCCGCCGTCGATACTGCCTGCCGCCGTGAAGCTGCTCTCGCAGCTTGGCGGGCCAGAGGTGGCCGCAGCCCTGGAGCTGGCCGCACGGGCCCGCGCGGCCGCGGCGCAGGGCCTCCTGGAGGCCGAGGCCTGCAGGAGCCCCGACTGCGGGCACCCGAGGCACCCGGACCCCAGCGTGTCGGACGGCTTCTGCTGCGAGAAGTGCGAGGGCCGCTTCCGCGGCGAGGCGTGGGCCCTGGGCGGCCGGGGCAAGAAGCACACCGCAGCCTGCACCAGCCGCCTGGGGGAGCGCGGCATGACGGTCACCACGCTGGCCAGGGAGCTCCAGGGCGGGCCCGCGCGGCGGCCGGCGGGGGAGGCCGTGCCCGAAGGGGGGGCCCCCTCCGTCGTTCCCGCGGCCGCGTCGGGCCGAGGCATGCGCTACGGTCCCGTCGCGACGCGGCGGAAGTGCGCCCACCCGGACTGCACCTTCCTGCGGAACAGCGACCCGTCCATCAGCCGCCTCTACTGCTGCGAGAAGTGCGAGGGGCTGCACGGAGGCCAGGCCTGGGCCAAGGGTGGCAAGCGGCACTACAAGAGCTGTGAGAGAGCAGAGGTGGAGGAGACGCTGGGCGGCGGGGAGGACGAGTGCCCCGTGAGCCAGAAATCCGTGACCGCGGCGCAGGGCAGTAGCCCGAGCCGGCCTCAGGTGGGCGAGCTGCACGTTGCCGCCTCTGTCGTGCAAGGTTAGCGCTGGGGAGGTTGCGAAGTTCGAGCTCGGCGCGGCCCCTCACGGCCATCGCACCGTACGGAGACCAAGTTGCTGCGCAGGTGCGCCCACGCGTGTCCATGTGCCATCTGATGCTCCCCAGCGGACGCCGCGTGCACGGTGGGCGCCCTCGCAGCGGACGCCGCGTGCGCGCCGGATGGCCTCGCGAGCGCGTGCACCGCGGCAGGAGGCTGGCGCGAGCCTCTCGCGAACGGTGCCTCGAACCGTCTCCGCGCCCAGGCCGGGCGCGCGCGCCCTCCTCGCCCCGGCCGAGCGTGCTCCGAGGTCCGCGGCCGACGCTCAACGAGCGACGCTGTCTGGGGCTCCGCCGCGTGCCCTCCGGCGCAGGGCCCCGCCCTTCCTGGCCGCGCGAGGCCGCTCTCCGCGGAAGCGTCTGCAGGACGCCGCCTGGGCTGTGGACCTGCGGCGATCGTGCATGGAATTTTCTGGTCGTTGCCGGGCCCTTTCGGGTGGCGCAGGGGTGGACCTGGACGGTGTTTGGGCGGTTTCGTGGGCCGTTTTCGTTTCGATGTCGTTTTGCAGCAAAGGTGAATTCAAGACAAAGCGAGGAACAACGAAAACAAAACGAAAACGAAAAACACCGTTTAGGTTCAGCCCTGGGGTGGCGCCGTCTTGGTCGTCGCGTGGCTGCAGACGCAGAGGCGGCGTACGGATGTCGGGCCTGCAGGTGAGGCGTCATGTTCAAGTGGCTTACGCCATTCCGTCAACCCCCACAAGGAGTGAGTGCTTGAGACGATCGTGGAAGTTTCATCCTGAGTCACGAACCTCCTGGATGAATCTGAGGGTCTCTTGGGATGCCTCTCTGGGGCCTCTTGGAATATCTCGGAGGCATGTGGGAGGCATTTTGGGGCCTCGTGAGGCGTCATATTGCCGCACGGCCTCCTGGGGAGAATAAGGGTGACATGCAGAAGATACTGAAGACCGCTGCATGTGGGCGCGGGCTGACATGTTGGCCGATCTCCATCATCTTCGGGATGCTGTAGTCGGCCTTTGGGGGGAACGCCCCAGTTTCGGCCAGATCCTGGATCCCGGAGGGGCCGGAAACCTTTGTGTTTCCCGCCATCGCCCTTCTGAACGCCGCCAGCGTTGAACCTTCATTATTCTTGCGCACAGCTTACAGTACGTGTTTTATACATGCAAGACTTCTCACTCCTGAGCCAACTCTTGGGCGTCCTGTGGCCTCCTTGGGAGGCGGATCGTGTCGTTCTCGAGCAATGCTTGGACAATCCTCCTCCTCCTCCTCCTCCTCCTCCTCCTCCTCCTCCTCCTCCTCCTCCTCCTCCTCCTCCCCCTGTCGCTGTCGCTGTCGGCCTCGGAGTTCGGATCGAACGCTGCCATCACCCGTGGGGGCAGTTGCCCCTGGGGGGGTGGTCGAACTTAAAACTGTATGAGATAGGAGTGGACGGAACGCGACGGGTGGAGGACCCTCCAGGCAGCGAGGAAAGTGTGTCCCCCAGCGCCGGCTTGGTTCCTCCCCCTGCCCCTCCTCTCCCCTCCCTCCTCCTCCCTCCTCCCTCCCTCTCCCTCCCTCCTCCTCCCTCCCTTCCTCCTCACTCCTCCCAGCCCCTTTTCCCCTCCCTCCCCCCTCCTCCTCCCCCCGGCCCCGGCTCCCGCTCGAGACCTCCTCCATAATCAGGCCTGCAGAGCCCAGAAGTGATGCAGTCACAGGTTCGCCCATGACCCGCTCGTCGCTCTTATTTTGAACATGGAGGCGGGGCCCCCATGTAGGGAGTGGCTCCCGCTCGAGACCTTCTCGCGATTGCGAGGCTCCCGCTCGAGACCTCCTCCATATTCAGGCTTGAAGAGCCCAAGAGTGACGTTATTTGCATGGTTTTCCGATTACCCGCTCGGATTCGAACATGGAGGTGGGGCCCCCATAGGGAGGGGCTCGCGCTCGAGTCTTTCTCGCGGTTCACTCACAGACGAGGCTCCCGCTCGAGGCGTCCTGGGTATGAATGTGTCAGTATGTGAGTTAGTGCGTTAGTGCGGAGCATGTGTGTGTGGATGTGGGAGTGTGGGATGATAATGTTGATGATGTGATGATAATGGCGATGATGATGACGATGACGATGAAGGTGAACGTGATGGTGATTGTAATGATGATGTTGATGCTGTTGATGATGGTGGTGATGATAGTGGTGATAGTGTGTATGATGATGTTGATGCTGATGACGATGACGATGATGAGTTTTGATGATGTCGTTGATGCTGATGAGGATGCTGATGCTGATCATGCTGATGATTATGATAAGGATTGTGATGATGATGATGGCGATATTGATTATGAGGGCGATGGTGATGATGGCGAGGATTATGACGAGGACGATGATTATCATGATCAGGATTATGAAGATGGTGCTGATCATGATTTTGGCGATCCTAATGACAACGATGATGATGCTGATGATGATGATGGTGATGATGATGATAATGATGATGATGACGATGATGGTGATGATGATGATAATGGTGATGGTGATGATGATGATGATGATGATGATGATGATGATGATGATGATGATGATGATGATGATGATGATGATGATGATGATAAATGAGAAGTGGGAGTTTGTGAGTGGGGTGTGAGCTTACTGCGCGGGGTGTGCAGATAAATCCAAAAACGCCGCTCAGGATGTGGGACAAATCAGACGTCAGGTATGGCGCAAGCGCACCTGGCTTGCCTTCCCCCGCTCTTCTCGCGCTCCCTCCCCCTGCTCTCCTCCCCCCCCTCTACAACTACACATTTGGAATACCGCTCTCCTCTCTTCCCTGAGTCTGTCCGGATGAGGAGGCGAATGATGATGATGGTGATGATGATGATAATGATGATGATGACGATGATGGTGATGATGATGATGATGATGATGATGATGATGATGATGATGATGATGATGATGATAATGGTGATGATGATGATGATGATGATGATGATGATGATGATGATGATGATGATGATGATGATGATGATGATGATGGTGGTGGTGGTGGTGGTGGTGGTGGTGGTGGTGATGATGATGATGATGATGATGATGATGATGATGATGATGATGATGATGATGATGATGATGATGGAAAGAGGGTGTTCTGCCGCTGATGGCAGAAAACCGGGGTGGGGGGTTACTGGGGATTTCAAACCCGTCCCCCCCCCCCCTTGAAAACCGGAGCCACTCTGCTCCAGCTCCGCCCGGCAGTGGCATTGGGGGGGTGCGGGAGACTGGGATGGCAGCAGCAATGGGAGGGCGGCGCTGACCTCACGGTCCGGCCAGCCGCCCATGTGTGCTCTTACGACGTCCAGTCGGCTCTACGTATCTGTTATTACGTGCTGGCCGCCTGGCCTACATGCTGCATCTTCTCTCTCGCGCGACGGCCGTCCTCCTGCAGGGAACTCGAAAGAGAGCAGCATTCGAGCACCCAGTCAACTTCTCGTCGCCCGACGGTTTTCCCGCGCTCGACTTCGGGTATGGGCGCACGGGGAGCAAGCGTGCTGGAGTGGTTGTTGCTTCGAATGCCAAGATCTTTCAACGCTCGCAGATCGCTGGTTTTCGGTATGCGGAGGGGGTTATTCAGGGCAGGGTGGGCGTTGTTTGCACGAGGTCCCCTTCACATGACACGCGATGGATGTCTGCTTCTCCTCCTCCATTCGATGGGCGTCAGCGCACGTTGCGCGTATGTCGCAGGGTAGTCGAAGTTTCATCTCGGAGGTGATAGGTCAGGCAGGGCATCGCACGCAAATCGTTTTGGGTGTCGATTCGAACGGCAGCATGGGACAGGAGAGGTTGGGCAACGGGTGCGCGCAGGACGTCGACAGCACAGCATTAGGTCCTTACGGCAGGCGGGTCGAGAATTCGCACGGGAGCATCTTTAGGAACATGTTGGAGGATCACTTCATGGTTGCTATGTCTAGTCACTTCGGTACGGGGCCTACTTATTTGGGCATTGTTCCGGGCTGCACGTCGATCATCGATCACATCTGCGTACCTGTTTCTGCTTTGTCATTTGGGCGTATTCGCAAGTACCAGGTCGACTTGCAGAGGGGAGATTCATTGTAGCTGGCGAGTCGTCTCAGTCGCATTGATCATCGCCCTGTGGTGATGACCATCGACCTTGAATTGCACCATGGTGGTCCAGATCGCACTTCGTTCCAATGGGATGTCGATGCTATCGTGAGGTGCTTGCTGCAAGGATCGGGCTGGAACGACTTTTTCGACGACCTGGCAGCTTGGGCACAGCATAGTACACAGGAGTGGAGGGATATGTCCA